CCCCAAAACCCCAAAACCCCAAAACCCCGTATGGTATAAATGCATAGAGTTTTAGAGATTTTAAAAATAAATTTTTAATGAAAACATCCTCTCTAAAGAAAGAATCAGGTAAGGATGCTAGTCTATGGGCTGCTTTAGGCACCCAAATCAGAGATTTTTCCTATAATAACTTGCTTATTTCTGTAAATTAACGACTTTTAGAACAATCTCAGGCTTATGATGCTGATCAGCTGCTTGAAGATATCGATGATGCAGCAAAAGATGAACAGACAATAGGTGCTAGCACTAAGCAATACGATGGTGGAGAAAGTGACCAAGAAGCTCAACTTAAGAAACACCAAGAAGATGCTCCTGAAAGAGTCCCTTGGTTCAGCTTTTACAAACTTTGGCTTTACACAGGTCCTGGATGGCTGATGTCTATAGCTTACTTAGATCCTGGAAACAGTAAGTCTGGGTGCTCATTACAAGTTTTAGCTTTTAGCTCTTTATGGCTCTAATCTAATGTGCAATGGGTTCGAGCCTATTCAAATATTTGTTGGATTCATTGCATTTAGTAGAAAAAGTTACTTTTTGATCATTTGTGACCAACTTGCTTTTCTAAAAATTATCTAGTTGAGGGAGACTTACTTGCAGGCACTCATGGAGGATATGGACTCATATGGACATTGTTCCTTGCCACATTCTGAGGTCTTATCATCCAAATACTCAGTGCAAGAGTTGGGGTAGTAACAGGAAGAGATCTAGGTAAGCTCATTGGCATTACTCTTTAGCTGTACTATGTAGAGAACAGTTCTCCAAACCAATGAGATACACTCTTTGGGTGATGGCTGAGATAGGTAAGATACCTCAGTGTAAACTAATTTTTATAGCTATCATTGGTAGTGATATCCAAGAAGTCATTGGGACTGCCATAGCATTCAAGATTCTGTTTGGATTCCCCATTTGGGTTGGATCCATTATCACAATTCTGGATACATTCACTTTCCTGTTCATCCATGCTTGTGGAGTCAGGAAGCTAGAGGCAGTATTTGCTGTCCTTGTTGGAACAATGGCTATATGCTTCTGGTGTAATATGTTTATTGTCTTGGTAAGTCTTTCTCTTAATCACATAATTATGAAAATATTTATGCATTTTCTTCCAATTTAGATTCGAGATTTTTGATCGAATGTAACGTGCTATTATATTGATTCTCTTTAGAATTTTTGGAGATTTGTTACATTGAAATTATTCAAGTCCGTTCTCACTTTGTCGTGTCCAGATAAAAATTTTGTACAAACGACAGTTTTTAATTTCCTATTATAGCCCGACGCAGGCGATGTCATGGGAGGATTTGTCCCACAGTTACCTGAAGACTCTACTGGGGAGATGATTGGCCTGATCGGAGCTGTGATCATGCCTCATAATTTATTCCTTCATTCGGCTCTTGTTCAATCAAGGAAAATTAACAGACATAATGATGCTAAAGTAAAGGAGGCTAACAAGTAAGAATCTATCTATAAACTTTAGATATTTCTCAATTGAAGCTGGATTTTCTCTATTCATCTCCTTCTTGATTAACTTGGCTGTAATCTCAACTTTTGCCTACTACCATCTGCAGACTGGATCAGATGACATTGTGTTAAACAATGCTCACTTTGCCCTACAAGATAGTTTTGGTACCAATGCTAAATATATCTGGGCAATTGGGCTTATGGCAGCTGGGCAATCATCCACAATGACTGGGACTTATGCTGGCCAATTTGTGATGCAAGGATTCATCAATCTCCATGTTCCCACATACGTCAGAGTCTTCATCACTAGAGCTATTGCTATTGTACCTGCCATCATCTTTGCATTTATCAAGTACACTGACAACTTGGATGGCTTCTTGAATATTTTGCAGGCAATCCAGCTTCCATTTGCCCTGATTCCTCTTCTCAAGTTTTCTGCTAGTCCGTAAGTATAATAATTCTTAATATTTTCTGCAAGTCTTTCTAACGTAATTTAGGAAAATTATGAAAGGATACAAGAACCATATGTTCTGGAACTTATTCTGAATCCTAGTAGCCCTCGTCCTTATGGGACTTAACGTATATGGACTCGTTCCTTGTAAGTCATTCACAAACTAACCTAATCATTGTATAGCAACCAAAAATCCATGGATCATTGTTGGGACCACAATAGGATTCCTGGTCTACTTTGGCATAATTATTGCAGTTCTACTTGCTCCAGTCAAGGAACTTGCTCCTCTCCAGACAGAAATTGAAGGAAGCAGGACCTTCTCAGAGCTCGAAGAGGAAGACGAGATTCTAAGTGAAGATGGTAAGAGGCTCTCAATACAGCTTTTCATTGCTTTTACTCTCGCTAGTTGCTAATAATTGACTATAGGTAAAACTTTGAAGAAAGCACTGCTGAATAACTCTTCAAATATTGCAGAGAGTTCATCACTATAGTTCAAACTTGAGATAACAAAGTACGACTTATATAATATTATTGAGAATGTTTCAACATATTTGTGACGTGCTGGGGTTTTGGGGTTTTGGGGTTTTGGGGTTTTGGGG